AGAGAGAGAGAGAGAGAGAGAGAGAGAGAGAGAGAGAGAGAGAGAGAGAGAGAGAGAGAGAGAGAGAGAGAGAGAGAGAGAGCCCACCTGTATCAGTCCCAGCTAGGATGAATATACCTCTCTGGGACTGACTCTACACCCAGCACAGCATGCGCCCTGGGTCACCAGGGGGTTTGTGGGGTAGGCTTGAAGCCATGCCCCCTCTCCCTAGGCACCCCCCTCAGCTGATGGGGGAAGCTTCCTTGTTGACCCGCTTTCCACTCCTTGCCATGGGACAAGGGAAAATAAGAAGGGAGTTTCTGCACAAGCACTATAGGGGGGGTTTTTTCTTCCTCATGCTGGCTTTGCCCCCAACACTGTATGTGGGTGCGGTTCACAGGAGGTTATGCTATACAATATAATACCATGCACACTTCCTGGTTCGTTTCTCCCCAGAATTCCACTCCATGTGGAAGTTGAGTATGGTATAGCTTTTTATACTTGAGCTAAACATAGTTTGAGGGGGAGAGTAAAAATATAAAAATCCACATGCTCTCTGCTTTCAGTTTTATCATTTTTGAAGAACAGATCTGAATATTCCGAGCTTCTCAAATGATTGTTTCCACTCCAGTCATCCAAAATTGCCATGTCCTCAAGCTGTTTGAATGATCACATGTTTATAAAACTGGATGATATGCATGTGATTCATCAAATATTTTTTTTTTAACCACAAAACACCCATACCTTATTGAAGAATTCAAAATATTAACCAGTTTTCTACAGTCACACCTCACCAAAATAATTTGAAGGAGTAAAAAATACAAAGTTTGAGTCTATTAAAATGTTTTCACTTGTGCAAATAATTTCATTACTAGAAATATTTTTATGGCAAAATTATTTGAATTGCCAGTTAGTCAAAGATTTCCTACTGGCATTGTGAAGAGCACAAAGAAAATTTTATAATTTTTTTAAATAGGTGTTCTATAAATTCAGCCAAAGTCTATTGCCAAAAGTGCCAAAACATTTTGACTGATAAAGGTTATTTGACTCAAAAATGCTATGCTCGGGAGGTTTACATCTAATTGCTGGACTTCAGCAGGGATTAACTGGTAATGAAAATAAAGAAGATTTGTGACTTGAAGAGGTTCTATTTGGCAAGACCTAACTGATGTTGATTTAAAACATTTTTTGTGACTAAATTAGAGGCACCTCGAAAATCGTACTCAATGCATTCTAAAAAAATCTTCATCTTTAAATACTTTCCTACTGCTGCATGTGGTAATTTATGTATTTTTTTCATAGAGTAAAAACAACATGTTCGAGGAAAAGTGTGCCTTCAATGATATTCTGCTTTTATTTCCACTTTTGAAGCAATCTAGAATTTTGGCTACGCGACGTTTGTAAATTTAACTTCACAAATGGAATTTCATCAGTTCACACACGGCCAATGATCCTAAAAAATGTGCAAGTTTTTCTCATGAAATCAATGCGTCAGAAGCAAGTAATGAAACTCAGCCAATCAATTTACAGCCATTTCTCTTGTCTTTTCCTGCATTAGAATATAAACGATTGTTCATCAGTGTCATGAGTGCAGAAATCCACGGAAATATTTGCTTCTTCTGCCCGTGGGAGCTGAAGAAACGTGCAGGACTGGGAAAACCAACTGTGATGCGCAAGACAAAGAAAATGTCATGGACTTCTGATCAGTCCACCCGTTATAGTGGCCCAAGCCAAGAATAAAGTGCTACAGTGAAGCATCGGTGAGAAAGGAAATGAGTCTCTGGTCCTTGGTTTCATTGAGCCTTTGCGCCTTTGGAGTGACTGCCATCTTTGACCCTTTTGCTGAAGGTGCTGAGTCAAACCACTTCCTTTTTACAAAGAAAAAAAGTATTGAAAAAAGTGTGAATATATTTGGAATACATTTCCAAGGCTTCATATTTCTAAAGATATTGAGAACCATCTGTAAAGTAGTGTGAGAAAGGAAATGAGTCTCTGGTCCTTGGTTTCATTGAGCCTTTGTGCCCCTGGAGTGACTGCCATCTTTGACCCTTTTGCTGAAGGTGCTGAGTCAAACCACTTCCTTTTTGCAAAGAAAAAAGTATTGAAAAAAGTGTGAATATATTTGGAATACATTTCCAAGGCTTCATATTTCTGAAGACATTGAGAACCATCTGTAAAGTAGTGTGAGAAAGGAAATGAGTCTCTGGTCCTTGGTTTCATTGAGCCTTTGTGCCCCTGGAGTGACTGCCATCTTTGACCCTTTTGCTGAAGGTGCTGAGTCAAACCACTTCCTTTTTGCAAAGAAAAAAGTATTGAAAAAAGTGTGAATATATTTGGAATACATTTCCAAGGCTTCATATTTCTAAAGACATTGAGAACCATCTGTAAAGTAGTGTGAGAAAGGAAATTAGTCTCTGGTCATTAATTTCATTGAGCCTTTGTGCCCTTGGAGTGATTGCCATCTTTGACCCCTTATTTGCTGAAGGTGCTACTGAGTCCAACCAGTTCCTTTTCATAGAAAAAAATCAAAAAGTGTGCAATTGTTCTCGATTACAGTCAACCCGCCCACAACGGACTTCATTTGCATAATATTAATATTCTGTTGGGTGACAAGTCCGTTGTGCAAATTCAATTATTCAAGATTAAAATTTTTACTTTTCACCATTAATTTTAAACCAACAGAAGTCTGTTATGAGGATTTAATCCCTTCTGTGGGAGGGAACACTGCCTCCAGAGGCAGTCTGTTGTGCAAAAATCCATTGGGCTGGAGATCCATTTTGCGGGGGTCAACTGTATATGCTAAACAATTCACATTTATTAATATATTGAGAACCAGCATCTGTGAACTAGTTTATTTAATCCTTGAAGACCTTGAAGCACTAGTGTGGGGTCTTTGGATAATATGCATTACAGTTAAGACATTTGATGCTCTTACACCAGCTTCCAAATTCTAATCCAGTGAGTAAACATAGGTCCTAAAATTGCCATTTCTGAAAATCTACCTGAAATAAATGTCATTGGAATACAATTCGTTTGTTAACCAAGACATCACCATCAAGGCTTTTTCAAGAATTGGTCAGGGAACAGAAATAGAGTAACACTAATCATAATTTGATGCAGGTGGACTCTCTCTACAATGATCTTGTCTGCAAAAATTTCCCTGCATAAAAATGTTGATCCGATAGAGTTTTCTACCCATGTTGTATAGCGGTTCTTTGCAAAAAAATGTATCTTTTAATGCATTTTTGTTCTGGTCCCTTGAATTTAGTTTGAGAGAGTCCACTGGTACAATTTCTCAAAGAAAACTCCTTGATGGACACCATTGAATCTTGCCCAGACAGGAATTTCTTCTTGAATACCAAGTCTGAGGAATTGTGGAGGATCTTGCAGCTCCCAAGGCATCTGGGGATTGCCAGAAATGTTATAATATTTCTTGGTGATGGAATGGGGATCCCAGTCATAACAGCTTCCAGGATATACAAGGGCCAACAGGAAGGCAATCCTGGTGAAGAAACTTACCTGAATTTTGAAACATTCCCTTATTCTGGGATGATCAGAGTGAGCACATTTGGAGACTTCTCTTTTTAAAAAAATTAACAAAATATTGGTAAATTATTTCCAGACATATTGTGTGGATAAGCAAGTGCCTGACTCCAGTTGTACAGCAACAGCTTTACTCACAGGGGTCAATGCTCCATTTGGGACTGTTGGTTTAGACTCACATGGGCGACATCTGGATTGCAGCAATTATTCTGAATTAGATGAAGATCATTTGCCAATTTCCATAATGACTCATGCCCAGAATGCAGGGAAAAAGACAGGTAAGTACATAATCCAGTGAGCTTCAAATTTTGCAACCACAATCAAGACTACCCTCAATCAGAATTCCACGGAGCCCCAAAAGGGCTCCTCATGAATTTTCTGTGGGGCTCCACAGCAGATGCTCAGAAAATAAAATCGTGAAGTGAAAATTGGACTGACTTGAAGATAAAATCATTATCATACGCAGAATGGACGAAAATCTTGTGTCACTATCTAAATGAATGAAGGCTATATATGTTTTGCAGCGCAAGAAATATTTGCATAAAAATTGCAAAGGAAAAATTAATTTCAATATTCTCTCCGGACTAAAGAAATCTATTGCAGAAAAAGGCCCAGCGCGTATGAGAACGCCGATTGACCTCTGACGCACACTTATTGAAGATTCGAGAAAAAGAGTCTTTCTAAACAATAATAGGTGTCGCTCGCAGGTATCGTTTCCACCACCCGTATAACTCACGCAACACCAGCAGCAGCTTTTGGACGTTCTCCAGATAGAAACTGGGAGGCAGACTCTGATATACCGCCTGCAAAACGAGCGTGTCCAGATCTGGCTCGTCAACTCATAGAAAATGACCCAGGAAAACGACTCAATGCAAGATATAAAATTTTTTCATAAATTTAAACTTTAGACAATTAATTGTAAATATTTTCCAGGTGGTCTTTGGCGGCGGGAAGCGGAATTTCCAGCCAAGAAATTCGGCATCAGGCATTCCCTCTTCTTTACTGCGTTCCCTGAACTAAGTCCTTACCGATGTGTTACGACAAAACAGTTTGCAAAGACGCTCTATGCATCTTTTATTCATAGTTAACTTTCTGCGTTAACGTTCACGAGGACTCCGAGTGCTAGGTAAAAAAAAAAACTTTCATTTTCTCTAAACTTCATCTATAGTAAAAAAAATCGAGAAAATGTATACGAAATTCGTTATTTCTTATTTTTTGCTCGGGGAAAATGGCTTTCAATGAAAGGAAGGATATTTTTCTGAAGGACTTTTCAGCGAAAACCATATGGAATTCGAATCGGAAAAAAAGAAGCCGGTTTCTGGTGAACCAACTTTGGCAGAAATGACAGAAGCTGCCATTGAGTTACTTCAGAACCCAAATGGGTTTGTCCTTTTGGTGAGTGTAGACCAATCGTAATCAACATTTAAAAAAACTGCCTGTTCAAAAAAAAAAGTCAAGATCATAAACAAAACCCTCGCATATTAACGAAAACACGGGGTCGCCGAAATATTCCTTTTTCCTACAGCAGAGTTTCACGAGCTTAAATTTTTGCATGCTAAATTTTCAAATTAAAGGAATAAACAATCGATGCTAAGACAGAAACTTTAAGGTTATATATATTTATACTGAACCAGTATTTTAGAGATTTCGAAAGATTTTCGCACTTGCTTTGTCTGTTGAAGGTGGAAGGAGGAAGAATTGATCACGCCTTGCATTGCACAAACGCAAAACGCGCCATTTTGGAAACTTTGGCATTGGAAAAAGCAATTAATATTGCTTTGCTTAGCACAAATCCAGTTGATACCCTAATCCTCGTGGGTGCAGATCATTCTCACGTCATGACCATCAACGGCTACCCAAAACGAGGAAATCCAATATTAGGTAAGGACTCTATTTTCCTCAATTAAAAAACCCATCAATATTCACAATATACATAATTACAATTTCTCCACACTTGAAGAACATCAGAATGTCATGAAAAAAAGTTCAAATGTACATCGGGGCAAAAGCTGGATAAACAGTATTTTCCTCATTTTGAACTGCACATACCGTATTTTTTCTTTAAAATAAATGGATTTTTGTAGACTTTGGAAATTATTCAACGTTTAAAATTGCTTCTGAAATTATATTTTGTGGTGAACCTACCATAATCTTTTAGCTTAACTTCGTATGAAACACCTGGTTATTTATTATGCTGAAACTAATATACAGTACTTCTATGGTACGAAAAAAATTTGAACAGTGCACAATTTGTTACAATCATTGCAGCAAATTTTCCCGCAAAATTCCGATTTTTGATGAATTCCAATAATAATTCCAAGGTTTAATGAAGCGAATTAATTTATGTTTTAGGTGGACGAAACCAGAAATTCTGCCTTTCAAAGGTTACCATTTTTACTTGGTCATAGGATAATTTTTTCTCTACTCGTCGAACTTTTTCACGTTATAAGAGGGGGAACGAATAATTTAACAGTATTAAAGAATATGAATTGTCTTCTAATGAATGATTGGAAAAATCACGAAAACTTGCTATCATGTGAAGAAAGCCGAACAAATTTTGGCAAATTTTTCATTCATAAGAACTAGAAACTCGTAACGAAGTTTTGAAACAGCTAGTTCATAAATTACTCTATTTGATTGTTATTAAATTTCAGGACTTGCTGGGACTCAGGCGGATTATAAGCTGCCCTACACAACCCTGATGTTCGCCAATGGACACTCTTACAATTACCGCCAAAATGGCACGCACATTCTCTGGCGAAACGTGTCGTCTGCCAATACCAACGATTTGAATTTCCGTCAACAAGCTGGAACGTTTCAACCTGAAGGTTTCGAGACTCACGGTGGAGAAGACGTGGCTTTTTACGCAAACGGTAATTAACCACAAATTTCATCATCATTAATAAAGAAAGTGTGGAAAAATTGTTGAATTTGAAATACAGTACAGTACAGTACTCAACAGGGCTAACGAAACAAATGTAAAAAATTTTCCATGTTGACACCTTCCGAATTCTTCACTCGAACGAATGCTGCAAAAATAACTTCAAATGAAAGCTTGCAATGAATTCATATTTCGTGAATGCAAATCGAAATATATGTTCTATAAACGTAAATTCAAAAACTCACCTGAATAAAATTCAATTGATTCGCAAACATTTTAACAAGCAGGAAAATCCTTTTGACTGGAATGATATTTCAGGTTCAGTACTATATATATTCTGGTAATTTTTTTCCACTTTTCCAACACGTTTTTGATAGGAGAAAAAGATAAATGATCAAAATATGCTCGTTGCAGCACAATTCAGATTTTACAGTTATATTTTCTCTCAATTTGATGAACCAACAGATTTATATGCATTTTCATCACTCTTCCCATTTTTCATCTGGCTGATGGATTCAACGTGAAGAACGGAGGCAATGTCACCTTATGTACTGGGGTATAAAGTTGGGAGGGATCGTTTTTTTAAGTTCAAGTAGATGTCACTCGCTGCTTGCTTGAAAAATCCTTCGAAAATTCCACAGAGCAGTATAGTCTGGAAATGCTATGAGGAAAAATTAAAATTTATGGAAACGCAGTTCAAATGCACTGATTCTGATTGATGTGAGGATGCAAACAAAATATTGATAAAATTTCGTATATCATTTGTTGAGATGGATTTTTGAAAGACTGAAAATTTATTAAATTATGTTCACAGATAAAATTCTCCAACAGCTGAAACTTTCGAAAATGTTCTATTTAAATCCATAAAGTTTTTTTGTGAGAATAAAAACGTCTGATTGCAGTTATTTACGCAGATTGAAAATGTTTTACTTTTGGAAATGGAAAACTTTTCATTTTTAGAATAAAATAAAAAATAATTTTCAGATTTATATCAAAAAATCGAATTTTATTCCCCATCAACTAAATACAGTATCAGACCGAATGCATTCAAGATGTCGTCTTTCAGACTGAAAAAAGTTCAAATACAGCGCGTTTTGTTCATTCACAATATCCGATGATTTATTTTTCAGGCCCGTGGTCACATTTGATAAGTGGATCCCACGATTTAGCATATGTTGGACACGTTTTACTCTTTGCTGCGTGTTTGGGCGACTATGAAGACGCTTGCGGAGTCGAAAACAACGGTAGATCTAAAAGGACCAAAACGATGGACAATAATGTCAACACCCAAGAATTTGACACCTACGAAACTCAGCTTGTATCAGAAAAGCGTTCCAATTCATACTCACCCACACTTTGAAGCTTCTGCATTAAACTGGGCAACCTGTTGGTATATATGGAATATATTATCCGGGAAGAAAATAAACGTATATGAAGACCTGCTCTGAAACCGTGGTCGAAAACGTTTCTTTAATCTTGTTTTTTATTATCTGATTGCCAATTTCATCGAAAAATGTTGATGCTGCTCGAATGTTTTGTTTTTTTCTTCTTCTTCTTTTATCCTCATCGCATGCTTCACCAGACACTGGAATTCTCATTCAAGGTTCGGTTATATTCTTAATTATCTGTTCCTGAAGTTGGACAGAAGAAATCACCAGACCTCTTTGAATACGTTGGGCTGCTCTTAAATTCTCTCTTATATGTTTATATTTTGCGAATCTATTAAAAATCGTCATGGCGTTGATCCAGTTTGAACTACTCCCCTTTCGAAAATATTTCACTCGTTTTTCATGAAAAGATTAGAACAAAATTCGTTAGCCTCTTGAGAGGGTCTGTTTGTCACAAAAAATGTGAGGACCAGAATAACTCAAATTATTCTCTACTCCGTAAATTGATACTAATCCATCAAAGGAAACCATCAACATGAAAATAAGAAACTTGAAAACAGAGTGAATATCTACAACTAGAGCATAAAATGCCCTCATTTTATGAATTTTAACTGTTGTAGAAGAAAACTGAGACCCCTGGAGAATTTTTGGCAAAGCCCTTGGAAAAAATGTATTGCATTGAAACACTTCCAGATCCTCCCCATAGAAGTAAACAATTTCTGGGTCCCTCAAGTCATTTCTTACTAAGATACCTCAACCTTATCTGCGCGTAATGATACGCAAATTGTTATCATTTTTAATCATAAAAACGTTGAATTCCATATTTAAAAATGCAATGAAATTTAAAAATATTCCAATTAAATTTCTTGTGAAAACTTCGCAAGACTTTCGAGAAACCCTTGGCTCCCATACTGATCGGAAGAGTGCCACTCAACTAAGCGCCAACCAATTGAGCGTCACTCTAATGAGCTGACTCATTCTAAATAATTAACAAACAGTGCTTTTCATTATTCTCTTCAGGAAAAAAAACATGCAACCCCTTTCTTATGTACTGCTATTCTGGAATTTCTCACAATCACTGGAAATGATTTATAAACTTATGAATGAATGAATGAATGAACAGAACACTTTATTTGCCGCTTTTCAGCATTCACAAGGTTCAATCAAGATTTCCACAACCAAACCCCCTTCCTACCCAACGCAAATCCACTCAATGACATTTAATCACTTCAGAGCAGGAAACACAGCACAAATTTATAACAAAAATAAAAGAAAATACAATCCATGAAATACAACTGGACATCTGACATGTATGCATATGCCCATTCATTCCCTGACATTGAAAATAAAATACACGTAAAAATTAATTTAAAGAACAAGGTATTCAGCTTGTTTCTGTATGAGGTTTAGTTGAATGAAAAAATTAGAGAGAATCTTTGATGAGAAATCATATATAAACTTATATCATGCATAAACTTCTTTTTTCAGAAAAAAATCGTACCATTCTGCAATGAATTAACCTCGCTACAAAAGAACACCACAGCTTATTTTGGGGAATTGATGCAATTTAGTTTCCTCGGAAAATTCAACAAAATCTTAGGCGCGTTCGGTTGGGTAGCGCTGAATTTGGCCTGGCGCTCAGTTGGTTTAGCTCTCAATGAGTCTGCTACAACATGGTTATGACTGTACGATAACAATATAAAATATTGGTCTTTATCCGGGGAAGAAACTGGTTTCCGGGTAAAAACCAGGATGTGATTCCTTCCAGATTCCAAGACTGTTTTCCTTCGCACTCTTTTGATAATGAGCCTGACGGACGCTGAGTGTCGACAGTGACGGTCAGTGTCGAGGCAGGCCAAGACAAACTATTATTTTTCCTTATTGAAAAAAAAATTCCTGCTACATTTCTTTCATTTAAAACTTTTAGTCTCGAGCGAGCATCAGCGATATTTTATCGCGACCAGGTGTTCAAGAAATTCAAACAATATCAGCCGAGAACTTCGATCTGGTTGACTGTTTGACCGGGATTAGTTTCTGTGTTAACAAAAATTACTCAGTGTCAAACATCGAATTATTTATACTGTTTTCAAGTGTCATTTTTGAATAGTGGTGGTTTTCCTTTAATAGATTAGCTCCATTCTATTGAATTCGCGTTGAGGTTACGTCTCAAATGCGTAGGAAAAAAAAAAATCCATAAAAATTGACCTTCGAAATCTATGCAAAATACATTCAAAATAGCTGATGCTGAATTTAATCACGCTTTTGATGAGACGATTGGCAGGATTGAGTGTTTATGACACGCTGAGATGACTAATTTTTCTACAAACAAGTACGGCTTTTTTCCTTGTTGCTAATGAATTTCAAGAAACTATCGCAACTCGTATAGATGAGATCATGCTTATAGCTCTTCTTTATTCATAATTTTAAATTTTAAAAGACACAGTACTGACTTCTTTCAAGAAAATGTTTCTCATCAATTGCGCAGTTAGCTGTAAACATGTATAATTATTTAAAAATTATTATGTGTACTCATCCGTTGCACAGTTTTCGTGAATATCTTTCTGATGGAAATTTAAAAGAGCAAAGGGTGGATTTTCATTGCGCAATCGGGAAATCCGAACAGGATTTCCCGTTGCGGGATTTTTTGCGCAGCGGCAGGGTTATTTCATTAATTTATATAACGGGAATTGCGGGACGACTATCCCTTACAAGGTCTTCGTGACTCAGTTCCACTTGGGCTAATTTTTTAAAAAGGTCAAACTAACCAGTTTCAATTTCATTAACAATTTGAAGTGAGACCCCCACATGCGGACACCTGAACATGAGGAAAATTCAACATTGAGACATTTATTTTTCAATAGAAAGGGCATAAAAAAGGCTCAACATACGGACTCTGACTCAACATGAGGACATTGCATGATAAAATTACCAATAAATTTCACCAAAAATTGACTTTTATTTGGCTTGATTGCAAGAAACAGATATTTCCCAAACCTAAGATGTATGCAAGAAAAATTCTTTGTAATTTATCCCCTCACTTTCCCATCCATTCAGCTAATAAAAAAAATTCCTATTGTATACAGGGACTCCCTTCTCTCTTTGTGACTTAAATGTTATTTTTGTAGATGCCAACATTTCAATGTACAGTACAGAGATCCACTATTCAATGCTCCAAATGTACTTATTGAGTTTAAAATATATTCACAGAATCAAATTCAAGTGGCAAACAATTTTACTCATGGAATTCTGAAGAATATTTCTTCCATAAATCACCAATTTAATATTATACAGTATAAAGTAAGTCTACGGGAAATCAAGACTCAACTTAAGGACAATTCAACTTATGGACACTCTTGATGCACCAATTAAGTCCACATGTGGGGTTCTCAATGTATACCCTTTTCACTTAATCATTTTACATCATCCCTGGAATATGGAATAATATAAATTTTCCTAAGTGCTTTTTTCATGTCAGCATGATTTTATTCATCCTGGGTTTTCCTGGTCTATTTTTGGATACATGTATCTCTCATCTCACTAATGGCCGTAAACCAAATTGGATTCTTCCAAGAAGTGACATTATATTTTCTTTCCAAGTAGAAAAAAAAAATCTCCCTGGGATTTTATTTCGAATGAATCATAACCGTCTCGGCGAGAATAAACCGCTTGAAGTCTCCGTGGGATTCTTTTCTGGGAATTGATGAAAACTTCTGATTCTTCATTCTTCTCTAGAAAAATTTCTTCAACAATAGTTTATCCTGCGGGAATCATTGGAATTGTTGATGATCACAGTTACGGAAGGAAAGAGCTGGTCCTCAAGGGTATTATTCAAGTTCGGGGGCACAAAGCGGAATTGCGTCATTAATCAGTCGTTTCCGAGTCGGAAGGGCGGGAATAAATTAACTGGAGAGTGAAGGATTGAATATCAATTATTTTTAAAAGGATTTTTTTGCATTAATACGTCAGATTATTCGCTGACATTTTTTGTCAAAATAAATGATTGTTTTTGATGACGACGAGCGGAAGAGATTTTGTGTGATGAACCGAGATTTGAGGAAGGAACATAAAATAAATTTAGCCCATCATAAACAGATTTCGATGAAGCATCTCAAAGCTAAAAAATGCAGACTAAGAATATTTGAGATTTAAAAAATTCGAGTGCTCCTTACAATGGATTTAGAAAATTGAGGATGCAATAGTACAGTATTTCCAATTTCCAGCCATAAAATTCTGCTTTCCTTGCCTTTATTAATATGGCCACTCGAAGCTTTATCGAAATGCAATCATCATTTGAAATTAAAGAAATATGTACAGTATTTACTTTCAAACAAATTTTCAAAGGGAGCATCTACGGAAATTTGGAATTTCCGTTAGAATGTTATCGAATAAGGCCTGATCCGGTTTGTATAAAAAGGGATTTAAAAAGCTACTGCGTCGTATCCTCGTTTGAAACTTTGGAAATTCAATTGAAAATTAGTTTTTTACATGATTGGATAACTTTCAAATGCTTTTTTCAATGAATCATGTCGTCAAGATGTTTGCGGGCCATCAATTGAAATAATATAAATGAAAACAATCTTCCTTTACCAATTAAAACTTTTAATCAATTTAAAGTACGATCGATAAAAAATGCTGTGCCAAACGCTTAGTTTCAATTAATATAGGCCATTAATTTATCAGAAACCCCACAAAAAACCAACGAGATTCAAGATTATATTTCTCATGCCCTTTTGACTGAAAATTCTAGCTCAGATTTGTATATTTCTCAAAATTTTAAGCTGATGTTTTCTCATGCAAAGCATTTATTCCGCTAAGAACCCGTTTTCCTCTTTAAATGCAGATGCAAAACACTATAAAACCTTAGATGCACCCTCAATTATATTTTTAACAATTATTTTTGAATGCCCAGCACTGATCCAAATTGACTAACTAAAGTTCCTGCAGGTTGATTCCATGAAGAATAATATCGTGCATACAAAATATTGTTTCTCATACAAAAAACAAGGCTTTGAGTACCAGTCTTCCTCTCGGAATGTAAAACACTGTAAAACGTAGATTGCACACCTTGAATTACTGTATATCTTCAAAAAAATTTTATATGTCCAGTACTGGTCCAAATTGACTAACTAACATTCCTATTATTATTCGTTATTCTTGATTTCATAAAAAAATAACTCTCATGCATGAAAAATTTTTTTCTCAAGGCAATTTTTTTTTTCAGAACCAATCTTCCTCTTGAAATTCAAAAAACTTGTAAAACGTAGGATGCGCACCTTGAATTATACTGCACGTTCAAAAAAAATTATAAATGCCCAGCACTGATCCAAATGGACTAGAAAGCGTTCCCGAAGGCTGATGCCATGAATAATCGATCTCATACTTCAAATAATTAAAAAAAAATGACGGTACTGCAGTCCTCAAAAGATAACCTATACCTGATGGCGACGGGAAGCGACGACGCAGTTCCTGGTCTCTCCGCTATCGTCGACGCTGTCCTTGAACTCGACGACGTTGTCGCCTTATGGAGGGAAAAAAGAAAATAAAATCGTTAAAAATAGACACGGAACGGAAAAAAAAGGAATGACTGCATGGACAACAGAATAAGCGTGGAAGGAGGGATAATTAACAGGAGGAAAATGAAGCCAAGTGAGCAGAGCCACCAGGAAAAAATTAACGAGCCGTTGCTGCGCGGTTGCGCACCCCACAATTACTTGGAGGCCTTCCCTCTCTGCAGTCGTCATCCAGTTAATCCCTAGTGACAGAGCTTTTCACTGCAGTTTTTTTTTAAAAACCTGGGCATTTGTATTTTGTACCTTGCTTAAACGAAGACTGTTTTAGACTTAATGGTATGCTGGTATTTGTTGGTGGTGCCATTGGTACTTGCCAGGTGGTCTGCAGTGTTGTCTTGACTCCTGTGTGTGAAGTGAATTGAGTATGTAGAAATACTGTACATACAATTGAACCTCTCAAAGTCAAATTTCAAGGAACCAGCAAAAAATTCAACTTTGGATGGCTTCCATGTAAGGATGAGTTAGGAAAACAAGCATTTTTCTTGTGGGAAATGTAGAAAAATTGCTGGAAATTATTCGGGACTTTAAATGGAATCTTAAATGACTTCACAGAATGCTGAAGTTGGAGGCAGGAGTTCATTTGCCCAAATAGCCTGTCATTTCATTAAAAAATCATTAGGTTAATTGTTATTTTGTTTTTCTCTTTCATGTGTTGAAAAAATAATAGCCAAAGACTTCAGAAAATTCAACTTACGGAGGTTTGAGAGGAAAATCCTTCCAGGTGGGGAGGTTTATAATCAAGTCAAGCCTCTGTAAGCTGAATTTCAAAGGACCAGCAACAAAGTTTGGCTTAGGGAGGTTTTTACTTGGGGATGTTTGGAGTTTGTGAGGTTTTGAGTTAGGAAGCAGACATTTTTGGAAGCAGAAAAAATGGAAGAATTTCCAGAAATTGTAACTGGTAATAGTCTGGGCCTTGAATTGCTTCCTAAATAATTTGACCAGATGCTGAACTTGGGTACATCAAGGTTTCATTTGCCCAATCAGTCTTTCACTTCCATTATTCCAAACGTATTAAATTCTGTTTTTATTGATTTTATTTTTTCTGTGGCAAGAAAATTATAGCCAAAAGGCCTCAGAAAATTTGAGTTTGGGAGGTTTGAGAGGAAAATTCTTTGAGTTAGAGAGGTTTTAATGCTGCACATTGTTTCTAAAGGAATTCAGACAGGTACTAGAAACATTTTTATTTGGGGAGGTTTGACTTATTGAGGTTCAACTGTACATTGTTTCTAAGGGAATTCAGACAGGTACTTGTAAAAAAATTCAAGTGAGGGAGGTTTAACTTATTGAGGTCCAACTGTATTTGCAACCTCTTATGCAACCATGTGTTGGAGAGGCTTAAATTGCACACCATGGACTCTTTCTGTAGGAATCTCGTCTACAACAATTTTCTCTGTACAGCAAATCTTTTCGCCCTGCAGGGTTCTGTCCCACAAATTTATCGCTACAAGGACTATTGTCTAGTTCCTTGAATTTCATTGTAGGGAGTGTCCACCTGTATAGTAAAGCACTTCAAAACTTTTGTAAGTGCTATTTCAATTGAGTGCATGTTTCATGGGTTGATTCATACAACATTTGTGCTCTTTCATCCGTATTGCTGTGAAAAGGCCAAATGAATTCCTGTGTAAAATTCGACTGCGCTTTTCTGTACACACGTACAGAAACACTCGTCGTCAACTCCAGAAATTTGTCTAAATGTGACAATAAATGCAAAAGCAGCATGTGAGTGAGTTATGCGTGAATTCAGTGAGTCCTTGAAATGAAAAACGGCTCCCACCGTCAAATGATGTCAAAAAAGACTGTAGGTGTGTGAAAACACACATTTTCCCGGCCTTAAAACGCTAAAAAAAACACAGAAGAAAACAAAAAAGAATTCGGGAAAGAAAACCCCCCTGGTTGCAAAGCCATAAAACCGTTGACAAGGGGTGGCACAGCTGCCTCTCAGCTGAGTAATTGAAGCCAAGAAAACAAATTAAATCTTTTCAGGGATATTTTTCTGCTGTTGACCTACTTTCTTTCCCCCAAACAGAAAAAATCCCTGTTGTATTTTTTTTTCGACACAGTGAATGTTCAAGTAAAGGTAACTGCCTCAGACAACTAATTTGTCTGTACACAGTTGAACCTCCCTGTTAGTCAAAATTGAAGAGACTCAAAAATAATTTTAACTTAGAGAGCTTTTGAAATATAAAATAAGGCTTGATTGGTTCAAGTTGAACAAGGGAAATCATTTTCTGTCCTTATTACCAAAAGTTTTCATTATTCTTGGCAAATCTTTGTGAAAAGCCTTAAGATCCACATTTTCGAATTTTTATTGGCTTTTTGGATGAAGTGTCATCAAATGTAAGCCCTATTTCACAAAAGGAAAAAAAAGTAGAGAAAATATTACTGAGGGAGATTAGGGTCAAAAAGTTTTGAAGTACAGATGTTGAAAATTCATTATTGCTATTATGGGGAATTGCCAGAGATTTACTGGGATTTTAAATTATGGAGGTTTTTGACTTGAAGATGTTTCACTCACAGAGACTCAACTGTCAGATAATAAATGCATGCATCTTTGATAAAAAAGAAAGAAAGAAAAGCGAAGTACCTGAGTAACGCAAAATTTGAAGCAAGTTAATATCTTTTAATATTGGAAATAAAATATTCCGCATGACTATTCGAAAGGAAGGACCAACAAAATTAAATCAACGAAACACACGTATTTTCACGACAAGAAACTCACGTCTCCTTAAACGACAAAAACTTTCCTTATATAGTTCAGTTTTCTATCTCGAATCATTGATTTCATCGAAATTCATTTTTGAAGCTTCGGATTTTTCTCCGAATTCGAAATGAGGAAGAAGCTTCACTTATTATCACCTGTAGTAAAACGCGGAAAACTTTTCTTCCCGGGCTGAACTGAGATCGAACTTTTACTTTCAAGTGCCAGGCTGTGTCTTCCACATTCGAGAAGAATCACATTCTTCTTTTATTTCGCATTTCCTTCAACTTGAAAAGACGTGATCAGAAGAAAAAGCCGTGTGTTGAGAAGAAGCTGTTCTGTGTGTCACTGCGTGGTTGTGGTTCGCCTTGGGGCTAGTTTCACGTTCTCTGTTGCATATATATTTATATTAATATGATATATTTTTTTTCAAACTTGGTCACTGTCGCAATTAAGCATTCGACAGGTTCAAGTATGTGTCGGAATCCCCTGGAGTTGTTAATAAGTCAGTGGGTCTTTTTTTTGGGGATCCAGGTTGAGGTCGTCTGTTTGATTGGGGGTTCCTTTCTTGAATCCCTCCTCCATTCATTCATTCATTTTTGTGGTTCCATGCTTGTGTCATTTGATATTTTTCTCTCCTCTCGGTTCAAGTATCAACAAGTGATTTTTTTTAGTTAGCGCAGAATATAATGTTTTATTAGGGGTTTTATTTATTTGTATACTGAATCGTGGAATTTTGTCGCCGCGATAATTTTTTGAAGCATTTATTGTGTCGAGCGGGAATTCAACAAATTTATTTTTGTTGCAGTGAAAAATGTATTGCATCGGAATTTCACGAGTGTTTCTTTTTAGTAGATTTTTAAAAAAAATTTCTCTGTCAAATGGACCTTCTGTGATGTTTGTGTGTCCCGTAGAACTATAAATTTCATAAATTTCCTGGTTACGTGTTTTCTAGTGACGCTGAACCTTTTTATGGAGTTATTTCGACAAATTATTTTCCAAAGAAGTCTGCACGTGAATTTCTCCATGAAGATTTTTTGTGTGTAAAATTGACGAGACAGGATTTTTTTTGGGAATACTGAAGAGAGTAAATTTTTGATTTGAGCGGAATAAATCTTTAACTTCGTGTAGCTCGAATCGAAATTTTACATTTTCGTAGCTCTGAGTATTAAAAAAAAAACCAAACATCGCGCGAAGTGTTTTTGAAAGGTTTTAATTCTAGTGATTGTTTGCTGACAGTTTTATACCGAAAATCTGAAATTAAAAATGAAATTTTCTGCTTTTCAGTTCAAAATGCAGTGGTTAAAAAAAGTTGTGATATTTTTGTGTGCTGTGACCATTGCAAAAAGCCAACAGACAGTGAGCAGAAGGCAAAGTGCTGAGCCCAGAAGATTAGATGTTGGTTTTGTGAATATTGTCACTACTGGATCAATATCCAACAAAGCTCCTCAAGGTGAAATCAATCAAGGAAATGCGGGATTGAAAGCAGGTGAAAGCACGAGTTCATCGGATCCAACCGCAGACAAGAACACAAACAATTCCACAAACCCTGAAAGTAAGGAGAAAAATACGTTTAAAAACTTCCTATAAAAATATAAATTAACCTGTTTTATTTTCGTTTTTTCAGTTTGCGAATGCAAAAAGAGCAAAGAAGACTTCGTTCTTTGCACAGGCAGAGCCTGTACGAGGCTCCCCACAAATCTGTTTGTTCCAGATGGTCGCCTCAGGATAATGCGAACAAATATCACTGCCTTGACGAGCGATATGTTTGCAAATTTGTCAAATTTGGTTCACTTGGATGTGCGGTCCAATCCTCAACTGGCTGAGATTCAACCCGGGTCCTTTGCCAATTTGCAATCCTTGACCAACTTGACACTTTCATTCAATAAGTTTGCCAAATTAAGCCCCGAGTCTTTCAAAGGCTTGGTGAATTTGCAGGAAGTGTTCCTGGTGCAGAATGGGATCAAAAGTTTGAAAGATGTCGCTGCTGCCCTGAGACCAGCAATTCTGCCAAAGTAAATATTTTCAAGGAATGAAGTGCAAGATTTTATTCATAAGTTTTGAGACTTTTTGGCATAGATCCAACAGAGATTAAACAATTATTTTTTTTAATTTCGCAGGCCCATCATGTGGCAACACTTCAGTGCTGTGCAACATACTCTCAATTTCTTTCAGTGCATTTTTTTCTGTGATAAATGCAATATGATTCGAACAGTGCCAAAAAATGAAGATCTGTTAGTTGCACCCATTGTTTCAATGGCTGGATTTTTCGCATGAAAAATACATTAAAATTGGTGAAGAGTATGTCAAACAGCGCTGAAGTGTTGCCAAAGCATGGGACTAAGCAAGTGATATTTTTTTGAATTGATGGAACTCTGTTGGATCCATTTCAAAAAGACTCAAAACTGAACCAACCCTTGTATATGTTTTACATAACTTGCTCCATTCATGGTTTTTTTTTCCAGCTTGTATCATGTTCATTTGGGAGGCAATGACTTTGGAAACATTTTGGAAGGAGATTTGGCACCTATGGAAGGTTCTCCAGTCAAAGACATTCAGCTGATGTCCAGTAACATCAAGTCCATTCAGGCAAATGTGCTACGGCCTTTGCAGCAGCTTGGAAGGCTAAGGCTCAGGGAAAATAATATTTCTGCTTCAAATCTAGTGAATTTTGTCAAATCTTTGCCAAGGTCTACATATGCTCTTGATGTGTCTGCTTGTGGACTGACTTCTGAGGACCTGGCTGCCCTTTTTAGTGCGCTTTCAGGTGAATTTTGTTTTCACTATCACTATCATGTACACTGACATATGGTAACTACTGTACATTATACAGTGAGACCCTAAAATACGTACAATACAAAATAGGGTTGATTTGTCTTCAAGATTTTTTAGATGATGGTGACTTAAGATACAGATGCTTTTCCAAGATTTCTGGAAGAATGTTAACATTTTATCTCTATTTTTTTGCATTTCTTCAAGAAATTGAGCAATTCGCATTTACAAATTCTAAAAAAAATATTCCATCATGAAATTACCTGTTATCTTAACTTGCTTGATAAAAATATTCTTGTTGGTTGCGTCAATAAATAAAATAGAATACTGTACTTGATCACAAAATATGAATACACAATATATTTCTTTGGTATGTTAAATCGCACTCGTATTCAAGTATTTTGTAGGATAACATACCACTGATTCATAATGAAAAATCCCAATCTTGTGGTCAATTTTTCAGTTAAAAAAATCATAAGGACTTGTTTTTGTTGTTTGTCTCTTGAGCTCCTTCTGATGCCAAAATATCAGATTCTGTGTAGTTTTCTTCTGTAAGTTTATTTTCTGCTTCTTTTAAATTGAAAAAAAAAACATTATCTTCTTCATTTTTGGAAGGACTTTTTCTGAGCTATCCATCTACAGAAGAACCAATTAAAAATATTCACCTTTAAGTCTATGGGAAAATGAGGCCTGACATGTGGTTGTTCCAAATTAGGGAGAAGGTAATGCACCAATTACATTCACATCTTTGGGGTCCCACACTCCCATTGCATATTTAAGTTTATGTCAAATTTTTCAGCCTTCATCTCTCTTGCTCATATTGCTGTTGCTTAAAGATTGTTATATAAAATAACTTCATTGAATAATTTACAGAGGTATATATTCCTTGTTGACAAAATATATATCTTTAGCATCATTCAACAATTCACAGGCACTTCTGTTGCTGAACTTTGGTTGGTCAAGAATAGTTTCCCAGTGGTGAAGAAAGGAATGATTACTGGCTGGCCAGGCTTGAAGAAGCTGAATATGAGAGAGGTTCGTATATTTTATTTATTCAATTTTGCAAAAATTATTTTAATCCTATCCATAAATACTTCAGACCTTGAAATTGTATAAACAGTATAACTCATTCATGCTGGAATAAAATTGGCTTGTGCTTCCTGAAAGATGAATTGTCACTGTTTCTCTCCTCAGAAATGAGGAGTGGATTTTTTACAAGTGCTTGGACATTCAATATTTCTATTCAGCAAAGTTCTGACAGTCTTGATCAAGTGTGCCCAATTTAATAAGATTTCGTAAACCTCTTTCATTCTTCGGCCAGTGGTTTGATGCATGGGTCTCAAAAATTGAAGAATATGTAACTCTTCGAAGGGCAAAAGCTGTGAATCTGACTGTATTAGCAAACGTAGAACTATACCACAATATAACGTTCAAATTGCAAATTTTTTGTGTTTTGATCAATCTACAGACTGGATTGATGGGAGTTGAGGAAAAGGCTTTTGAGAAGCTGACAGGTTTGGAAGAATTATACCTGGCTGGGAACAAACTTACACAGTTACAAGATGCATTTCTTCTTCCAAGTCTAAGAATCTTGGATTTGTCACTAAACAATGGAGCTTCTGACTTGAAAAACAGGTGAGATTTTCTATGAAATATTCCCATTCAGATTTAAAATTTTTTTTAAAAGAAATACATTGTATAAAAACAAATGCATGGGTAAATTTTCCCAGTTACTTTAGTGTCCGAGGCAGTGGTACATCCTTTTTGTGAGTGATGGTTCAAAAGTTTTCTCAGTACACTGAAGAAGCAGATTTTGGGTACCCAAGGTTCAGGGTCAGAATTCTTGAAACCAATTTGGAATTCTTCAAAAGACTTCAAGGTTCTAATTCATTGTTCATACAGTGATTTTTAAAACTGAAAACCCCGCATGTGAAACACTTCGCAATAATTCACCAGTTGAAATTTCATGGCAAGTTCTGCTAAAAAAACAAGCAATCCCAAAATCACAGGGTTCCGGACTTACGGATAAAAAAAATCATATTATGTCATTGAAGCAACCTTTAAATTTTTTGATACAAATACGACTTCTCTCTCCCCTATGTTTGGATTTTGGTGATCAAAATTTAAAAAACAGCAAGAAAAGAATCATATATTCATTCATAAATAATAAATATCTCCATGAATTAAAAATAACCCCAAAAAAACGAAGCGGAAGACTGCCAAAACTTATCATTTGCTCCTTGTATGAAATATTTTTTTTGCGTTTTAGGGACGAGGAATCTTATGAGTGGTGTTTTACAGTATAGTTTATTTTTAAATATATTTTTAGTGGCCATTTTGAGCTTGGAGAAAACAAGTTCAAGAGCATGCAGCGACTTGAGAAACTGCGTTTCAGAGGCAACAACTTGGGACACGTTGAAAAGGACACTTTCACTGGACTCGAATCCCTGGTTTCTTTGGACCTGGAATCCTGCATGATTTCAACAATGGGTCCAGAACCTTTCTCCCACCTCAAGTCCTTGGAAACGCTATTTTTGCAACGCAATAACTTGACTTCAGTGTTTGACCCTTCGAACCCACCTCAAACCGGCATTTTCAAGGGCCTGACTTCGCTGAAAACCCTGCGAGCGGATAATGCGAGAATCGAGGCCATTCCTAGAAAGTCCTTCAGTTCTTCTGACACACCGAATTTGCAGGCGATTAATCTGGAAGGGAATCGAATCGTGAGTTTCAGTGGTGGAGAATTCACCGACTTGCGAGACTTGCAGATTTTGGCACTGTCCAACAACCGAATCACTGGCTGGAATTCGCCGATTTTTGGCGCAAAAGCCCCGAAGTGAGTTTCAACTCTTCAGCGAGGAAAAAAAACGAAAATAACGAAAAGCTTATGAATGTGTTGGAAATTTTAAAAAGCAAGTACTCTATGACCTTATTGAAGATTGAGCGATTTTCAAAATTATTGAATGTAAATCGAATTTTTGTGAATTTTTTAGTGCAGATCTACGCTTTCAATGCAATAAAATACTCTTCAAAAATTTCTGTTGGTGGTGGATTATAGGGGATTTTCGGTGGATGATTATGAGGTCTTCGAATCGGAACAGGGGGATAATCCCGGGGAACTTGGTGCGGGTTCCGGTTCACAGGGTTTTGATAATCTAGGGGTTGTTCCAGGTAATTATCCCTGACTGCTCCTGGGTTGTAATTTTCCGAGGTCACTTTTGGCAGATGCAAAGGTTCCCGAGGACAGGTTTTCTGCAGTATCACTAGAAAAAAATAAAGACCAGCTTCTTGATATCTTGTAAAAAAAAAAAACTGGTATGCATGAAAGTTACCTGAAATATGACAAAGGCTAATTTACTTCAAGATTCCAGACGAAAAAAAGTAATGCAAATTAATTTACCGCATCAACCTATCAGGTGTAAACAGTTTTTATTAAGGTTCTGGAAGTGAAATTCAGAACCAGGCATAAAAAAATCTAGACCAAAGTTACCTAATTTTTATATCCTGAAAAATTTCATATTGAAAGAGAAAATTATGGAGGAAATTGACTTTGAAACTAAATTTGACCTGAATTGAATTACTCTTTATTTTTATTCATTGACAAATTCATCTGCCATACTTCAGCATTTTTTAACCTGTTGAAAACATTTTCATTTGAAGAAGTTGCCAAATGTTCCATTTTCACTCAGACACAAAACAACTTTTAGTTCCTCACATCTGGAAGTTTTCTACAATAAAAAATTCAGGAGTGCCAAATAATGTGTGCTTTGATTTTACTTACATCCAGGAAGACAAAACGGAATAGGAGGACATGACAGTCTGATAGTCTTCAACCTGTGACCAACTGTGCAAAATTCTGCACATTCGGTTGACTCAACCATGATACACTTGTGTGCACATTTGACGTCCCTGCAACTCAAGTTCCCTTCATCAAAATGAAAAGGAAAAACATTTTTAAATGGATAAAGGGGGTTTCTTTTGCTGAATATTTTGGCCATCGGTTTTATACCTTCAACTTGGCAAGCAGACGTGAATTTAGTGCATTTCTTGCGTCTGTCAAATAAACACCTGTCATCCCAGGCCACAACCCTTTCGCATTTTTCTCCAATGAGACACATTCCTGGGTTTGGTGTTCCACGTGGACTACATGCCTCTATAAAGATGAAAAGAAGTTACCAATAATTATTAAAATTTCTGAAGAAATAATCGCCACATGCTATCAATTAAAACACACACCTGCTTTTGTAAGCAAAATTCGGAGATATTCTATCCCACCTTGAATGGTCACATTACTTTTCAAATCCAAATAATTGTAATAAAGTATTTTGACACTTCATATTATTATAAAAATGAGTTTAAAATGCAATCTTCAGTAAACTGCCTTTAATGTCAGGAATAAATCCCAACAAATAAAAGGTTTAATTTTATTTTAGAATAGTTTGAGAGATATTTTGAGGAATGAAACACAACGATTTGGTTGGGCTGTGACCGGGGTGAGAATCACCCTATTTTAAGGTTGGTATACTTCAAGAGAATCAAACAAGAATAAACTTTGCAAAATCTCAGAGATACAATGCACACAAATGCTTGAGTCGGACTGTGATAAATTTGCCAATTTTGGAAATCAAGAAGACTGTCCTTCAAGGACAAAAAACAGCAACAGGATTTTAGTAATAAAATCCAGCCTTGGAGGCTGCAAAATATCCGTGAGAACCAAGGTCTTCCAAGATTCTCATGCAGATGGAATGAAAGACAAACTTTACTGAGAATTTGGGTTCTCTCAAAGCTAGTGTATCAAATTTAACATCTGCAGTGGGAGGAAGGACCAGTAGGATCCTACAGGGGTCTGGGGGGAATAATAAGGATGTTGTGTAACATGTGTCTGTGGCCTTTTGCACCTTGAATTAATTTGCCTACTTGAAAATGCATAAATTCACATTAAGTTGTCAGGATGGCCAAGCAGTCTAAGGTGCTGCATTCAGGTCACAATCTGGTTCTGCAGGCGTGGTTTCAAATCCCACTTCTGCAATGGTTTCTTCATTTTTTTTTCATTTTGTTGTCTGCACTGCGGACGCTCTACTACTTGATATGGTTGTTGAAATATTTGCAACATTTCACTCAAAATGCTATTTTCAGACATTTGCATTTTTAAAAAGAAAAACTACAAATGAAAAACCTTCTAATTCAACTTATACTTGAGCATGAATTCAGGTGCTTACCTCTTCTAGATTTTGAAATGCATCTTTTCAAAAACATTCAAGTAAGACATGCATCAAAATGTAAAAATTTTGTGGAATACTGTGTATTTAAATGCAATATTGAGTCCTTTTCTTTTCACTTTAAATGATCTATTAGGATTTTTTGCATTTTTAGAAAAAAGAACATGTGAAAAGCACTTAAATTCATTGTTAAGCTGAGCATTAATCCAGATGCTTACTTCTGGTTTTTGGCACAATTTTTTTAAAGAGAAGCAAGTAGGACATGCATCAACATTTCAAAATTTTGTGGAAAACTGTGTACCCAAATATGCTAATTTTATAAAAAAAAAGGTGTTCATGGTACTTGAGTAATTATGGAAAATACTGTACAATAAACAATGTCTTCAGTGTTTCTTGATTTGCACAAAAGGCTAGTGGTGATCAAACCTTGTCCATGTATAAACTCTAAAGCAAGCCAAGAAAATAATTTTTTTGCAGAATGATCAAAACCTTACTTACTATAAAACTTTTGCAGTCTTTCAATCTTGTTTTTGGGATATCTGGCAACAGCTGGTCCTCCTGGTTCTTGGTATCCTTCTGCTAACACAATTTTTATTCATGAAACTAAAAAAAGAAGAGAATTAAATCCCACTGGAGGGCAACTTACCCTCTACAGATGCATAGTCTTCATGGTGTTCATTAAATTCAATCCTTGGTCTGATGCATCTTGCCGACAGGGGGCACTGCTGATTCTCACCACACGGCCCAGCTCTTTGCAAAATACAAAAAGCACGTGGCCCGCACTTCGTGTGCTTGCACAAATTCGCATCTGATTCCAAGAATAAAATTATATCGTTGAATGGATCGTTATATTCTAATCGTTATATTCTAACTTCGTAAAAGAAAAATATACTTTCTCCTGTTGCGCAGGTCGGTAATAAAGGACAATGTTTGGGATGCGGTCCAGCACAATTTATCCCAAAGGGAATAGCTGCTACACAGAAAAGTCCTTTGTCACACAATATTGGATTTCCAGGGGAAAATCTCACACTGCATCTAACTGAAATCACAAAAGACGTGAAAAAATTCAACAATAAAAATACTGTAATTGACAAATATGATTCAGCATAAGCTTTCGAAAATCAGGACTAAATTACTATAATAACCATTTGAATTAATTTACTCACACCCACGCATATGAGCCAAAAAAAATTAGATGACATCTAAATTGAGATTCTTCATGAAATGTAAAAATATAGGCAAAATTTCTGAAAGGGCCAAATTACAGGTCAATCAAAGTCAATTTCAATGAATTGTAGGATTACATCAGTTTTTTTTGGTATGAAAGTTATTTGTACAATTTATTTTGCAAGACAATTTTAATTTTGAGTGAAGTCCATGTTTCCTGTGATGATACTTCACGTTTTAAAAATCTGTCGGTTCTTTAAACCCTGAACAGACAAACCTTTTTTTATTTTCATTTGACTTGCATGAATGAGAACGATTTATGCTGAAAGCTTTCTCACATTAACGGAAAGTGAACGTTTTTTTTCCTCGTAAACAACATACTGTATAGAGAAAGATTCAGATATTTTTTTCACATTACAAAAAATTAGCAACACCTCCTATATTCAAAGAAAATAACTTGCCTTTTTCTTCTCTGTATTCCTCCTGATAATCGTCAGTTTTCTCTTCATACGAATCCTCTTTGTACTTTTCCGTCACCAAGTCATATTCTTGAAAAAAATTTTTTCAGCCAAATTTAAAATAAAAAACGGGGACAACCTTGAAAATTGCGATAACAAACCTTCCCGATCATAATCAACGCGCTTCTCATCGTTGTATTCCTCTTGGCGATACGAACGATCTGGCTCTAAAAAAGACTCAGCTTTCAGTCAATCAGATAATAATTGATTTATGTACTCACTGATGTTCATGCAAATTGTTTTCACATGACAAGTTCTTGGCAAAGGTGCTCTTCCTGCACAAAACCAGGTTCGTCCGTCCAAGGCGCAAGTTTTATGCGCCTTGTCGCAGTTGTGACACGTCGCTTCTCCTGGATTTTGAGAGTAATAAAATTATTTGGTCCTCAGAAATAGAGCTGAAATACAATTTCAAAAGGTCGTTGAAAGACGAATGATTAAAACATCCCGAAGAAAAATGATCCAAGAGAAATGGTCCCGAGGAGATTACGAAAAAAAAATCAAGAGAAACAATCGAGAAGGTACATGTTGAAAGAAGTTGAGGATTTCCTGAAAAAGATTTGTTTCTCAAAGGACAGTTTTCGTCGGGGATGTTTTCGAAGTGATAGAGTTGGACATGAAATTGATTATTATCTCTTGTCTCTCATGTAAAATTGACGTCTTTCAGAAAAAACGACACAGATCTCGTATATATGCACGAATTTTGCGAAGACATTTTTCAAGCAGCACTTTTCCTCAATAAAGGAGATTTTCAATATGAGGCTATTGACAAAAATGTAAAAAAACATGAATCGATATTTTAAAGAAGTCAGAATTAAGCTTTAAAAAAATGAAAAAATTAATTGATCAGTTAAATCATCTCCAAAATAATTGAAGATTTGTTTGATGCAGTTGAACCTCAATCACCTCGTTTTTTTTTCACTGAACAATTGCTGAAAAATTTAATAGCGTAGAGAATAATGTCCTTACGGCGTTACTTCGAAATTTAAATTTTACGATACTTCATTTTTCCACTTTTATAATATTCAGAAATGGAAGTACCTCGCATGCAAATTGGTCTGTGAATGCATCCATTTGGCCCGTGATGACCACAGCCTCTGGTTGTGAGCAGCAGTCCACATTTCTCACCGATTCGACAAGAAACTGTCTCCTTTGTATTAATTCCTCTGCACACTGTGTACATATCTGCTTTTTTTTTTAAATAAAATTAAAGGAATATAAACGTATATTTTCCTGCTTCAATAAAAATTCGGTTGGCGTGGATGAANGTATATTTTCCTGCTTCAATAAAAATTCGGTTGGCGTGGATGAAAATATCACTCACGGCGAGAATGCTGAAGTCCTTGAATTCTCTGGTACTCCTCTGACCGATAGTAACCTTTATTTTTGACAGAAGAAAAAACGCAGTTAAAACTGAAGAAAACGAAGAAAGAATCAGATTTTTAAAGGGGGAAATCCATCAACATTTATTTATTTTTTTTTGGAAAATACAGACTCGAATCGGTGATCAGTCTTTGGAGAGCAGTGCAAGTGTTCCCATTGCAGTTGAGCACGCTTTCGTAAGTATCAATGACACATGCATCCCCACGTCTGCATCGTTTAACTGCATCTAATTCTCCTGAAATTTGAATACAGAATACATTTTTGTTCAATCAATTTTTATGCTGACTTTGGTCAAATGAGCGCCAAGACCAACTGAGCGCTGGTCTATTGAACGTCTGGGCAGCCGAGAGGTACTCAACTGAGCGCCAGGGAATTGAGTACCGAAAAAATATCCATGATGATGATTGAGTAATTTGTTGTATCTTGAAATTATATCACAAATAACTCTGGAAAATGATTTTGTTGCTTTTATTACTCCCCCATTCTGAGTTTGATAGTCACAAAATTGATGTTTTATGTAAGCTATGAGAAAGCAGTCTCAAATGATTTTTCAAACATAATTTTAATCTTTTCATGTTTTTAAATTGACAATAAGTCATTAATTTCAATTGAAAACAATTGAGGCTAAAAATATCTGCCCCAACATGCGGAAAATGTCTCAAGATACAAACGCTTTTCAAAATTTCCTGAAAATTGAAAAGCGTACGCCTCTAAAAAAAATTGAGCTACAAATTTATATGCATAAAAATGATAGAAAAATTGCGTTAAGAAATTAATATGATGATAAATCAAAAACAGGCTAATTTTTTACTTTTCTTTTCAGAGTTTTTCCATCATCTGTGCACAGTATTGTTAGACTTATTCTTATTTTTGGCTTTTTCCGATTCCAAAAGATCAGAT